ATTGTGCGTGGTTCCCGCGTACGGCCCTGTGAAAGTTTTCGGCGGGAAAACGGCTGACTCTGGAACCAGAGAAGCTGGGAGGCTAAAACTTTTAGGAAATGTTCCCAACCCATGTACGACTTAAATCTATCAAGTTCAGCCCCCGTTATGCGTGGCTGCCACGTACGGCCCCGTGGAAATTTGTGGCGGGAAAATGGCTAACTCCGGAACCAGGAAAGATGGGAGGCTGAAATTTTCAGGAAATGTTCTCAACTCATCTACATCTTGAATTTATCAAATTCAGCCTCCCGTTATGCGTTATTGTTCGGCCTCGTGAAAATTTTTGGCGGAAAACTGGCTAACTCCGGAACCAGGGAAGCTGAGAGGCTGAAACTTTCAGGAAATGTTTCCAACTAACCTACAACTTGAATTTATCAAATTCAGCCCCCCAATATGCGTGGTTGCACGTATGGTCTCGTGAAATTTTCTGGATGGAATTTGGGTAACTCGGGAGCTGAGAAAGCTGGGAACCTGGGATTTCAAGGGAATAGTCCCTGTCCAAGTATAGCGTGGATAATTAACTTACCGAAATTCGAGGACCAGTATGTACAAGAGGTTTCTAGCTAACGGAATTTCGAGTGATCTCATTGCAGCACGAAACACTGTAAAAACGCATGATCGCATGGGCCCGCCTAGTGCGTGTCGCCAGTGATTTTTTTCTGTATTCATCGTGAAACTTCTGAGAACATGAAAATCTGTGGGACTGCTGCATGTTTTATTTACAGATCGCTTTAGCCAATAACTTGGATATTTGTGCGGAATCCACAGAAAAACTAAAGCAGCACATTCGTTTGACGATGGAAACGGATGTTTTGCCGGTTAATGCTGGTGCGGCAAATTCTTCGGTGGAGGGTGTAAGCGGAGGCACTGTATCGCTTTCCTCCAGGAGTATGTCCATAATGGGTGTGTCACGTCAGTCATTACTTGATAAAATCGATCAGTTGAAGAAGCGTTGGAACATCGGAATGCAATCGGCGTAAGTTTGTACCTAACTGACTGATTTTTGACCATAGTGCATCTTCACACCATTACTGTGCATCACTGGCAACCTCTCTGTGGATGCGTTATTCGAAGCTTCATTACCTGATGGTCATGATCTACTTGTGATCTTAACATCCATCCCCCTTTTCGTTTCTGTTTTGCGCCGGGGAATTCATTAAAAATTTCTGGATATTTAAAGAAGTTAACATAGTCTGGGAGTGGCAGCGCTTGTAAAAAAGTGATTTTTACGCATCATGAGCATTTTGCTTAAGCCTTGCAAAGTTCTGCTGGCAGAATTATTGAGCTCAGCACATGAGTCGAACAACCTGCCTTGTGGATACGCCGTCTGTCAAAGCATCTGGAGAACTTGCCAGTCGCATAGTAGGAGAAGCGGCCTACAAATTACTATTATTTCAAACATCCCCGTCATAAAAGCATTGCGGTGTTATATGCAACGAGCTGCGTCATATCTTACTACCCAGTTTTAGTTGCAATTATTTTTAGCATCGGTGCACTGCTTGATGAAGTAAGCGAAGATATTGCGCCGCATCTTGCTGAAATAATGACAAAAAGATGGTATGTTTTGTGATTGTATGGTCTTTATGTGTGAAGTTACGGTGGAAATCAAAAACAGTCAAAGAAAAATGTCCAAATTATAGTCGGAAGTAAATGCCAAAAATATGGATAATGTTAATAATCAGTAGTATAAGATATGCTCTTATTATAAAATTATATAATATTTTTTCTTTTCCCCCTTTTACCCTATGATTCATAATGCAGTTTGCGTTCTTTCATGTTTACGGTTTTCTACATTTTCCTCTTTCCTTTTTTTTTATACCCATAAAAACCTAATTGTACATTCGTCCCCTTTATCCCATTTTGGTCCTATTTTAGAATGCGCTTGCATTCCCAGCCGTTTTACTTCCTTGTTTTGCCTTTCATTCCCTTTTTTTTAACCCCCTTAAAGACCCTTATTTCCATTTCCCCTTTTGACATTTCACTTTATTTTAATTATCATTTTTACATTTTCAACCCCTCCAAAAAGCCATCACATCCACTTTTGGGGCGGTTTCTACACCCTTTCTAAACCTCCCCACAATTCTTCGTGGTCTCATTTCACTCCTCTCCGGGACAACGGCTCTCACTCTTCTTCACCGGGACCACGGCACCAAGTCTTCTCGACGCACTCTTCAAGGACTCGACCTCGTCTGATATACTACTGGCCCTCATCAACCATGCTTTGTTATAACGACTCTTGCTCGGCAAGCTCACATACTCGATAGATTATAAGCGCCACACTTCGTGCTGCTTATTTGCTGTTTGCACGATTTATTATCAGTAAGTCATAAACTTGATTTTGCTTCTACACACTGCGCGTACGCTCAGAGCACCACGCCACACAGCGATCCACACACGTAAACACTTGTCACATAAAAATTTTTACTGTAGCTTATTCAGTTTTTGACTAAATGCGGATCCAGTGGTTATCGAATTGACACACTCCCTTACTTTTGTGCCAAGAATACCGAGACTGCTCGAACTATCAGTGTTGGGTCCCCGTGTTAGTGATGTTACAGGGTCCTGCTACACGTCCAGCCCACTTATGCCAGGCACTCTTTCTATAAATATGACAGTTTTTGAACTTTACAACCTGGCATTTCGTTCTGGGAACCATCCATTTGCTTTCTAAACATTTTAACATTTCTAATTTTACTACACTGAAGGGAAGCATAGGCGTGCGCTAAGCGATCGCTTTACGAAATGAAGGTCATGCAAAAATGCATGATAGCACCGGCAAGCCTTATGCGTTGTAGCCTGCGTTTATTTTTACAATAATCTATCACCTGACAGGTTTACGGGCTCAGCAGCCGTGGAGACGATATGTATGACGATAGCCGATTACTACAACGATCACAAACATCTGCGGCCGCATATTCGCTGTGCCTTGCTAATGGAGATTCAGTATAAAATTGTTGGTGAATATCTTATCGGAATTGATAGTAGGTTAGTAGCAGTGAGTTTTTGTTCCAAAAATTGTTCATTTTTATACAGTAACTTTTGACAAAGGTGTGAAATTCTTGCATCATGTTTTTCAAATGCATTGAATGCCGCCTTAAAGTAAAATTTTTGTAATGTAATATAAAATTATGGGATGGAATAGGATGATGAGGGAGATACGAGTCACTGTGGGAGACATAGTGATTCAGCCCCAAGGCTAAGCATCTAATTCGGAGGTACTTTGTTGGTCGAAGCTGAGCAGTGCAGTGCAGTGCAGTGCTTGGCATGAGCAATCCTGGAAGATATAGCCAATGGTAGACTGTCCGAGACTGCGCTTCATATTGAACTAAGTAAATAGCGCAACCAGCGTGAGACGCCTAGACCCATTTAGTCGTGGCCATCTGGCCATTTTACGTTTATAACATGCGC